AAGAATGTTAACAAGAAGAAGAAAAGAATGAAGATAACAAAAAAAAACAGTGATTCGAAAGAAGAAGAAGAAAATTATATCCTAAGACAAGAAGAAGAAGAAGGAAGAAATTTTTTTTGTATGATTAAACCTAAACAAGGCTAGAACCTCGTAGATTTATCTATAATAACAAATTCAGAAAAAAGAACTTTCAAAAAAAAGAAAGATTTGAAAAAGAATGAAGAAGAAATCAGAAGAAAAAGGAAGAAGAACTGAAAATTCTTGAAGATGCTAAAAAGAAAAAGAATATAAAAAAAAAAATAAAGAAATTCCTGTTATAATCCATCTGAAGAAGAACTCAAGTTAAGAAGAATCCTTAGAAGAAAAAAAGTCAAAAGTTCAAAAGAAGACTGAATCTTTTAAAAAAAGAAGAAGAATTTTTGGCAGAAAATTCGAAATTAAGATGAAAAGAAGAAGAAATGGATACTTTAAGAAGAAAGTCAAAAACAACAAAACTAAATGGAAGAAGACAAATGATTAAAGTAATGGAAAGAAATTGGATGGATTCTTTAAATTTGATTTTTTTGACGAAGAAGGAAGAAGAAATTGATGGATTTTACTGTTATTTAAAGAACCAACAAATTTTGAGTATTTTTGGATTTTTCTAAGAATATAAATTGACATATTGAATTTGTTATTTTATATTCATAGTTGAAGAAGAAGTTTTGGCGCTCTTTAAGGGTTCCATTTGTCCGAATTGAATAAGCAAATCAGGAAGAAGAAATTTAAAGAAGAAAAAGAAGAAATGGAAGAATTCTATTAGATATATAAGTTGATGACAAGAAGAAGGTTTCCTTATCGATGTTGAAGAAAACATATCAAGATTTGAGATGAGAAGAAGAAGAAGAAAATGAAAAATTCTTTCTTTTCGAAAAAAATGGAGTTGGGGAAGAATGAAGAAGAAGATTAGAATTTCTTTTTTTAAAGAATTGTTATCAATAAGATAAATGTATATATATATTAGAAGAAGAAGAAGAAGAAAAAAAGAAGCTGAATAAAAAGAAGAAATTGTCCCAAGAAAAAAACTCAAAGAAAGAAAAGAAGATCCAAGAAGAAGAAGAAGAAGAATATTGGAAAATAATTTTATCTATGAAGATAAAGAAGAAGAATTTCTGTTAGAAGACTAAGATTTAAGAAGAAGAAGAATCAGAAGAAGAAGAAGAAAAGAAGAATGATGTCTTTCCAGACAGAAGAATCAAGATGAAAAAGTTTTTCTTTAGCCAGGGTACATGAAGAAGAAGAAGAAGAAGAAAAAGAAAAACAAGAAGAATCCGAAGAATTGAAGAAGAAATTTTTAAATGAGAAGAATGAGGGAGTGGAAGAATTGGAAGAATGAATGAGAAAAAAGAAGAATAAAATGGAAGATAAACTTCTGCCCCTCCAGAAGAAGTGAAATTGTCCAAAGCCTTAGAAGAATTAGAAGAAGATTTTATAGGAAGAATATATATATAGAAGAAGGAAGAAGAAGGATTGGCCTTTAAAAGAAAAGTGGAAGAAGGAGTGCTGGAAGAAGAAGAAGAAGAAGTTGTCTCTCTAGAACCTAGAAGAAGAATGAGTTATCCATTTGAAGAAGAATGACTTCCCTCAATCAAGAAGATGGAAGATAACAAAGAAGAAAATGGACTCGAAGAACAAAGAAGAAGAAGAAGAAGTGTCCCATAGAAGAACCTACTTAGAAGAAAAGAAGTTAGGTAAAGGAGAAGAATAGAATAAAAAGAAGATAAATGAACTAGATGCTAAGGGTTCAAGAAGAAGAAGAATGAGCTTCAGAAAAGAAAAAGAGGTGGAAAAGAAAAAAAAAAATCTACCTTATGCCAATGAACAAACAAAAGGACTTTACATGAAAGTGAAGAAGAATTCAGTTCAGAATTTTTACTGGAAATCTTTGTTTCTAAAGTAAAAGAATTTCAGTACATTTATTTACAAGAAGAAGAAGAATAAGATTTTTGTAAAAAAGAAGAAGAATGAAATAAATAGAAGATCAAAAAGAAAAGAATAATGAAAAAATTGCAGTGAATGTTTAGAAAGAAGAGGAAGAATCATCAATGAAGAAGAAGAAAAAGAAAGAAAAGAAGAATCTGGCTTTTGAAGAAGAAGAAGAAGAATGAATCTTTCTTTTTATATGAGATAAGAAAAATGTGAAGGAGGAATTACATAAGAAGAATGTTCTTGCTGTTCTTTGTCTAAAAGAAGAAGTGATAAGAATGAGAAAGAGATCTAAGAATTTTGTGATAAGAACAGAATTCTAACAGACATGTAAGATTTGTCATTGATTTCTGAATTTTGATCGAATTTAGACTTATCACCCTGAAAAAATAAATGTTGAAACATATTTTTTTTGTAAGAATAAAATCTCCAATAAACGAAGAAGAAGAAGAAGAATTAAGAATTTATTTTTTCAAAAGGTGGACCTCAGATTTAAAAAAAAAAATAAAAATACATAATTAATTATTATGGAAGAAGAAGAAGAAGAAAAATATTTCTAAAAAAAAAAAAATTTCATTCCAAATGAAGAAGATTTTGAATGAAATTTAATTATTCAAAAAAGAAAAAAAAGAAAAAGAATTTATAACATAAAATTTGCAAGAAGAATGATCCTCAAAAATAACTTTTCCAAGTATCCTCATCCTTTGGGGAAAAGCTCATTGAATTTCTCCAAAATTAAGGAAAAAAATATTTTGTTGAAAGACACAAAAAATTTTCAAAAAAGAAAAAAAATGAAAGAAGAAAAATGGTAGAGAAAAAGAAAAAAAAATTTTTAGAAGAAGAAGAAGAAGAAGAAGATTTCTTTTTAATGAAGAAGACCTTAAAAAAAAGAAGAAAAAATGGAGAATTTTAGTGGAAGAAAGCATTGAAATGAAGAAATTTTATTTTATGTAAAGAATCTTTTGAATTTTGCTAAAAAGAAAAAAAAAAAGAACAGAGATATAATGGTGTTTTAGAAATAAAAAGAATTTCTGAAAAAGATAATTTTTTTTTTTAGAAGAAAAAGAAATTTTCAAAGAAAAATGAATTTTCAAGAAAAAGATTTTTTTTTTTGAAAAAGTAAAAATGGAAGTTTTTTTATTCAAAGAATTAAAAGAAGAATGGTTTATATTTCAAAGATAAATTTTGAAAATAAAAGATGCTAAATGAATAAGAAGAAAAAAGAATTAAATGCGCAGGGATGAGAAAAATTACATATGATAAAAAAAAAATAATTATGCCAGGAAGAAGAAGAGAACAACCTGAAGAAGATAAAAACTTCTGGACCAAAAATTTTAAAAAATAAAATCCAAAGAAAAAATTTAGAAGAATGAATTATTATAAATAAGAAGAAGAAGAAGATTGAGAGAAATAAAAGAAAAAAGATGTTTACTCTGTTTAAAAATTAAACATAGAATAAAAATTGAATTAGAAAAAAGAAGAAATCTGTAAGAAGAATGAAAAGAAAAAGAATTATCAGAAGTGAAGATACAACAATAAGGAAAAATAAAGAAAATGGTTATGAGAAAAGAAGAATGAATGAATCTTATAGAAGAAGAAGAAATAAAAAAGAACAAAAAGAAAAAGAAACATGAAGAAGATTTAAGAAGAATTTATCTTCTGAAAAAAAAGAAGAAGAAGAATTTACATAAAGATTTGGAAAACCATCTAGAAAAGAAAGCGAAAAAAAGAATTTCTTGCCTATCAATTTCTAAGAATGAAAAACAGAAAAATTTATATAAAAAGGAAGTTAAAAATAATTATTTTAATGGAAGAAGGAAAAGAAGAATAATATCCAATAGTAAGAAAGAAGAAAAGAATAACTAAGAAAGAAAGAAATGGAAAAGGAAAAGAAGAAAAAAAAAGAAGAAAGAAATCGAAAAAGAAGAAAAGGGGTTTATAAGAAATGATTAGAAGAAAAAAAAAAGGAAGATTTTAAGAAATTTGTATAAAAAAAGAAGAATCTCTAGAAGCCATTTACAAGAAAAAAGAAGAAGATTTAAGTTGAATTTGGGACACAGGATGAAGATAAAAGTGAACATGAAGAAGAAATTAAGAAGAAGAAGAATGTGAAACGGTAAACCAAGAAAAAAAAAGAAAAGAAAAGAGTTGAGGAAAATTTAGATAATCGAGAAGAACAAAGAAAGAATGGGATTGAAAGAAAAAAGAAGAAAGTGATGGATGAAAAAAGGGTTTGTTTTCTCGATCAATTAAAAGATAAAGAAGAAATAAACAAATAACAAGAAAAGCCAGAAATATGGAAGAAGATGAAAAGAAGAAAAAATGAAAAAGAAAATAAGAAAAATAAGAAGAAAAATATAGAAATATTCTAATTTATTTAAAAAAAATGAAAGAACAAAGAAATAAGAAGTCAATAAAAAGAAGAAAAAGAAAAGAATGAGAAAAGAAAAAGAAGAATATTTTCTGAAAAGATATTTTAGTAAAAGAAGAAAAAAATAAGATAAAAGTGGTTTTTTCAAATTAAATTTTTATTGTTATAAATAAATATATTCTTATGTAAATAAGAAATTCAAAGAAATGAAAGCAGCTTCTAAAGTTGTTATAGTCAAAAAAAGAAGAAAAGAAAAAAAGAAAAAAAAATGAAGAATGAAAAAGTGTTTCAGTATGAAAAAATTTTCTAAAACTGAGAAAAGAAGAATAAAAAATGAAGAAGAAAACATAATATAATATATAAGAAAGAAGAAACAGAAGAAAAAGGGAGAAGAAGTTGCAGGTTTATCGAAATATAAAACAAAAGAAAATCTTAAGAAAAGAGAAAATTAAATTAAAGAAAAAGAAGAAGAAAAGAAATAAGTGATGAAAGAATCGATTCTAAAAGAATAAGAAGGAAAATTCCAGAAGAAGAAGAAAAGAATGAAAAAGAAGAAGAAAAAACTAAGAAGAAAAGATGGAATTTAAAAAAAAAAGAAAGAGAAAGAAAAGAAGAAAGAAAGAGAAGAAGAAAAGAAAAAGAAAAGAAGAAAAGAAAATTATTTCTAAAAAGAAGAATAAAAAAAGAAAGAAGAAGTCTTTGAAAAAGAAATGAAAGAAGAAAATGAAAAAGAAGAAGAAGAAAAGAAAAAAAAAGAAGAAGAAGAAAAGAAAAGAAGAAGAAAAATAAGAAAAAGAAGAAGTGGAAGAAGAAGAAGAAAAGGAAGAAGAAAAAGAAGAAGAAAAAAGAAAAGAAGAAAGAAGAAAAGAAGAAATGGTGGATAGAAGATTTTATTAGGAGAAGAAAGAAAAAAAAAAGTGGAAGAAGTTAAAGAAGAAAAGAAGTAAAATAAGAAGAAGAAAAGAAGAATTTGAAGAATAATTAAGAAGAAAAGAAGAAAAAAGTTGAAGAAGAAGAAAAAAGAAAAGGAAGAAGAAGAAGAAGAAGAAAACTGAATAGGATAGAAGAAAAGAAGAAGAGGAAGAAGAAGAATTGGTAAATAAAGGAGGATGAAGAAGAAGAAGTATGAATAGGAGTAGAAGAAGAAGAAGAAGAGGAGGAAGAAGAGGAAATTAGCGGTTATCTAGAGATAACTGTAGAATCCTGACTCTTAATAGAATCTAATATTAATGGAAATGCTATCTGCGAAAGATGAACTCAAAAATCCAGTCTTATAATGTGTGTTGTTTGCGTCCAAAACACAGGTGAACAATGGATGATATATATGTCAAGATAGAAACTTAATAATCCGCTAGCTGAGTGTAGAAGAGCTGGATCCATCTTGCCCTTGAGAAATTGAGGCAAAAGACAATCTATGAACCATGGGGTTCGATTTTTTTGACTAATGCCTCCAACATGTCCATGAGTCTAAAAATTAAAAAACAGAGAAAAATTGAGGTAAAACAACAATGATTGATGTTTGACAGTCTCATCAGTACAGTTTTATAATTAGATGTTAGTCTGTTTTCAAAAAAAATTTCTGTGTTTGTCATTAAAAAAAATAAATAAAGAAAAAAAGAACCAGTCAATTCTGAACTTTCGGAATTGCTGTGATGTCATCTCTAAATGGAGCTGGGGAGTTTAACTGCAGGGGCCTTGGTATAGAAGTGGAATCTATATGTCAAAGGTTGAATGCTCCTTTGAAATAGTTTTAGGATGGCTTATCTATATCTCATGGTTAAATCCAAGCTTTCTTGACGATTTCACAACCCCATCATAGAAGAGGCTATCCTTGTAATGCTTTCTTTCACGAAAGTTTCAAAATAAGTCCTGGCAAAGACAGCTGAAATTTTTCAATTTTGATTAGGAGTTCTGCCAATCATCGGATCCTGTTCGCAGAAAGCCATGTTGAATATTGGTTAACTTACGGTCAAATCACGCTGAAACACCGGTTCTCGTTCGATCACCGAAACACCGCATCGTAGAGCCAGGTCACCGTACTTAGATGGGGACCGCTTGGGAACACCTGGTACTGTAAGCCCCAAAGTCCAACCCTTACCTCACAGTCGGTGGGGGGTGTAAACGGTAGTGTCAGAGCTATGCCGCCGGAACTTCGTTCCTGGTAAAGGCCACCCAAGGCGGACAGGTCTGACACACACGCCGGCTAACAAGGGCTCTGGTGAAAATCCAAGGAGCGTCTGCATCGGTAACCGGCGGCTTCTGGTCGTTCCTGTCTCTGCGTCTGTGGGAACCCCGCGGCAAGCAAGAACGTTATCCGAGTAGGCCTGGGTACCCTACTTCTGTAATTTATCCCAAGAATCTTCTTCTCATAACAGGAAGAAGCCGGCTCAATCCGCCCAGGGTGAATGCCGCATCAGTACAGTAAAACAAATGGATTATCTGTCATTCTCAACCTGAATAAATCAATTTTAATATTTGAGTCTTTTTTAATGGAGAGAAATATGGGTAAATAGAATCCATTCATGAAAATTTGTTGGGCAGGTCTATTTTATCAAAATGGACCAACCTACATTGGCTGCATTACTATAATAAATATAATTGAGGTTTTACATTAAATTAGCTGGCTTGCCTTTTAAAATGAGATTTTCGGAAGGCAGCCATTTTAAAAAACTTTTTGATAAAACAGCTGAGTAAAATATAAAAAAAAAAAAAAAAAAAAAAAAGGAAGAAGCTTTTTCTTTTGTTGACATTCAAATAAAAGAATTAAATCAAAAAACAGATATAATTTGTTTAAAAAATTCATTTTTTTAAAAGTTCATTTAATACAAATCCTTTAAATGTATTAAAATTAAATATGAAGGAAAATGAAGGAGAGAAAGAAAAAGAAGAAAAAGGAAGAAGAAGAATACATAAAAGAAAGAAAAAGAAAATAAAGAAAAGAAAAACGTTTTCTAAGAAAAAAAATTTGACATGGATGTAAATAAGAAATTTTAATGGAAGACATCGAAGAAAAATAAGAAGAAAATATGTAATAAAAAGGAAAATAGGAAGACATTGAAGAAGTAGTAGTAGTCATAGTAGAAGTGAAAGGAAGAATATATGGAAGAAGGAAAAGGGAAAAAGAAAAAAAGAAAGAAGAAAAAAGGAACAGAAGAAAAGCAAGAGGAAGACATAGAAGAAAGAGGAAATGAAGAAAAGATGGAAGGAAAGGGGAAATGAAAGCCAGATAAAGAAAGAAAGAAAGAAACAAAGATAAAAGGAATCATGATTTAAGAAAGAAAATTTAATAAGAAAGATAAGACAAATAAAAAAAAAATAAATTTAAAACTCAATTTTTGAATGTTAGGCCACTTTTGGAAGTTGTAGTAATCGAAAACAAAAAGAAAATCTGCTTATGTTAAAATCTATTTGATGGCCAAGAATGGAAAAAAAATTTTCCAAACGATGAAAAATATTTTGTTTTTTTTTTTTTTTTTAACATTGAACTTGACAGGTGCTGGAGAAATAAAGATTATTTCTTTTCCAATGTTTGAATTAATTTTTAAAATTGATTTCTTCATTTACGCAATCAAATTGATGACAATAAACATCTGCAGCGCTGGTCCTTCCATGTCCCAATAGATCGTGATGAACGACTTTCAAAAACATTTCACACCAAATACAAAAAAGAATTTCTAGATCATTCCAGCTTTATTTGCTGGCACTTTTTTCTCATTATGAAATAACAATCGTCTTTTTTTTTTGGAATTTTCTTTCAATCTATGCAAAATGAAATTATTCAATTTCTGTAACAATGCGATGCAAATTTTTAAAAAATTTGTATTCTATAAAAAAAAAAAACTGCAGCAGATGATGCAACGTTTTTGAAAGTTTTCAAATATAAATAAAGCTAACATTTTACGCAAATTCCTATTTGCAAATTTTCTCAAACTGTAGAGAAAGATAATATAAATAACGAGATATCAGATAGAAGATATGATCACCAAATTCTAGACGCAATTTCGTACAATTCAAACTTGTCTCTATCCTGGTTGATTGATTCCTAAGTTATAGTGGCGAAATACGTAATTACTTTACGAACATCCTAAATGTTGTGTCGTAAATAGTAATGGATAATACCTTATATAAAATAAGAAGTAGATTATTCCGGAGAATAATAATGTTTACACAAATTGATAAGTCATAAAAAAAAATTTACAGTTGTTTCCGGTCTAATCTTCAAAATTTTAAATTCTTAAGAGTCCATCAATGCAATTATCTATGATTCTATTTTATCTATCTATCTATCTTTCTGAATATTTAAATCCTATCTATTTTTGAAATCATTATGGTTATCTGTTTCATCTATCTATATGATCATATTATCTATCTATCTATTCTATCATTATCTATTTATTTACATTTAAATATAAAAATTTATCTATCTTTATCTAAAAAAACTCTTTGTTGACCCTCATTATTGAAAAATTTGAAAGTTCTTTAATATGAAAATAATTTTTGGCATAAATTTCCAATGAAAAAAAAGTAATTAATTTGAAACAGTTGTTTCATTTTAAAAATCTTAATTTAAACAAACATTCTTTTTTTTAAATTTATTTGAAATTCCATGGTTTCAGATCCATTTTATCAAAAAATCTTTTCGGAAAATCAATTAAAATTGGAAAAATTTTGAAAAAACATTTAATGTTTAATTTCTAGTTTGTTCTATAGTTTCCTAATTTTTTTGTAACTAAGAATTTTTTTAATTTAATCTTTTAAATTTTTCCCGTATTTCAATAAAAGTTTGTTGAACTAATTTTTTCTTTAACGAGACCAATACCCGCCTGAAGGCAGAGAGTCGATAATAATTCTGTTAACAGTTAATCGTTAATTCCTCGGTATTTACCCCAGACCACACTACAAGGCGAAATGTGACACAAGGCCTGGTTTTTAACTAAAATTTATTTTTTAAGAGGTAATTTTTGGGCAAAAAAGTTTTTAGACCCTTTTTACAATAAAATTCGGGCGGCTGTCTAAATCTCAGAGACATGAATTTTTTGAAGAAAAGAATTTCTTATCTTAATAATGAGTTCCTTTAACCCAAAAAAAGAAAAATGCCCTAGGTGTAGTAAAATTTTTATATTTTCTCTCGAAGGCATAAATTAAAAAAACTGTAACGACCAATCTTTAATATCTCAAATTTTTAACTTTTTTTTCTCAAGGCTTCTATATGGCTCTCGTTTTTTTTTAATTTTTAATTCCGAAAATTTTAAAAAATCTAAAAAAAAACATTTTTTAAACCACGTTTTTGAATGTTGTATTTAAATTAGTAAAATAATTATATAATATATTTTTTTTAAAGATGATATTTTAAATCTTTATCAGAGAAAATCTGGCAACCTGATTTGTTGAAAAAGGTAAATCATCATGGAGTTGAACTGAAGTTCCACAAACGAACGTTTTACCATGCTGTTAATTTAAAAATTAAGTGTTAATAAATATTGATGGAGGAACACGTACAATACATATGACATCTAAATTTTTTTTTTTTGAAAATAGTCATTTTTTTTTTTACGTATTCTTATATAAATAAAAAATATTAATAAAGAATACTGAGGAATTGCCAAGCAAGAACTGAGGAAAATATTCTCAAAAAAAAATTGTTTTATAATGACAGTCTTACATAAATGAGTATTCATAATAACAATACTAAATTGCCTGCTGAAAACGTGAAGAAACATCCTCTTTTAAAAATTTCAATGTAAACCCTTGAAAAATATTCTTAAAAAAAATTGTATTCCTGGAGATTTGATGAGGTTCTTTTTGACAATTGGACTATTCTTAGATTGATATAATAATAATAATAATAATAATAGTAATAGTAATAATAATAATAATAATATAATATAATAATATAATGTTATAATATAATATAATAAATAATAATAATATTTTCTATAATATAATAATAAATATAATAATAATATAATAATATATTAATATAACGTTATAATTAAAAAAATAAATAATAATAATAATGTAATAATATTTTAATTAATACTAATAATAATAATAATATAAATATAATAATATAATATAGTAATAAAATAATAATATTATATAAAAATATAATATAATAATAATATAATAATAATATAATCATAATATAATAATATAATGTTATAATTTAATAATTAATAATATAATACTGTAATATAATAATAATAAAATAATATAATATAATATGATAATAATAATATAATTTAATAATATAAAACCATGTAATAATTTAATGTTTGGATATAAAACATAATAATAATATAATAATCATATAATATAATAATATAATATAATAAAATAATATAATAATAATAGATAAAATATAAAATATAATATAATATAATAATATTATAATATAAATAATATAAATAATAATAATAATAATAATAATAATATAATAATAATAATAATAAAATATATAATATAATATAATATAATAATATAATAAATATAATATAATAAAATAATATAATATAATATATAATATAAATAAAATATAATATAATAATAATATAATAAATAATATAATACTATAATATAATAATAATAAATATAATAATAATATATTATAATAATATAATATATAAAATATAATAATATTATATAAAAATATAATATAATATAATATAATAATAATATAATAATATAATGTTATAATATAATAATTAATAATATAATAATAATAATAATATAATATATAATATAACTATATAATAAAATGATAATAAAAGAATTTAATAATAAAATATAATATAATAATTTAATATAATATAATATAATATAATACATAATAATAATATAATGTAATAATATAATCTAAAAATATAATATAATATTATAACATAACAATACTATAATATAATAATATAATATAATAATAATACTATAATAATAATAATAATAATAAGTAAAGACAAATGCAACCGGCCAGATTCACAAACAATAGCAAAATAGAAAGCTTCATGGTCAGTACTCTGCTCGTATCAAACAAGGTGATGTAGACAAAACCCGTACCCATCAGTGACTACGGGTTGAAAGCGGAAACTGAAGGTTTTATCCTTGCTGCACAGGACCAATGCTTGCTAACTAGGAATTATCAAGCACATATACTAAAATATTGTGTCAGCCCAAAATGCAGATTCTGTGATAAATATCCAGAAACAATTGATCCTCTTGTATCAGGTTACACGGTATTGGCACCCACTGAATATAGAACCAGACATGACAGAATGGGCCAATATCTGCACTGGAAAAAATCTGCAACGTCTACGGGAAGGAAACTGAAAGAAACTGGTATGAACACCATCCAGACCCGGTTACGGAGATAGGACCTGTTACAATTCTATGAGACTACACAAAACATACTGACAGAACAATCAAGGTCAACCTCCCAGACATTGTTATTAGGGACTGCAAACAGAAAAGTGCCTCCTTATTGATATAGCAGTCCATGCAGACTGCAATGTATCTATCTTTGAAGATCTTCAAAAAGCTATTAAAATACAAGGAACTTGAAATAGAAATCTCAAAAATGTGGCATATGGGAACATCAACAATCCCTGTTGTAGTTGGAGTCCTCGGATTGGTTGGAAAAGATTCCAATAGAATAATTGAAGGGATTCCTGGAAGTCCATGCCTTAAAGAAATACAAAAAATTGTTCTCACGAGTACAGCCCACACCTTACAAAGGGTTTTATCTATGTAAAATATGTTTGTGTTTTTTTTTCTAATTTTTTTTTACATTTTTTTCTTGGAAAATGTCATGATGCTATTTCTAATCTTAGGTCTCTGGGCGGGACCCGGAAAGAAATGTGCACACACCAAAAATAAAAGGAAATAAAAAATATAATAATACTAATTCAAGTTCATCTCATGTTGAGTAGAACCTTAAAAGACAAGCGCTTGGTAAGAAATCGTCCTGAACACACTTATGCAAAAATTTTTAAATTGAAGACATTGTGTCCCTAAGCAAATAGGAATAATATATTTAAAAATTAAAACGTCGTTCAAGATGTAAAAAATAATAATAATGGCATATCACCTTATACTAGCACACCTAAACGTCTTATTGAAATAATTTTAATATGAATAAATAAAATAATAATAATAATAATAATGTTGAGTTAGAGAAAGA